CAGAGGAGGTTTCAGGTCTCAGGAGGAGGTTTCAGGTCTCAGAAGGAGGTTTCAGGTCTCAGAAGGAGGTTTCAGGTCCAGGGGGAGGTTTCAGGTCTCAAGAGGAGGTTTCAGGTCTCAGGAGGAGGTTTCAGGTCTCAGGTTCTAGAGGAGGTTTCAGGTCTCAGGTTCTAGAGGAGGTCTCAGGTCCAGGTGGAGGTCTCAGGGTTTCAGGCAAGTTTGGATTTAGATTTGAGCAGTATGTAAGGCATTCTGTATTTTCCCTTGTGATGGAAATTTATTTCTCTTCATGTGACCCGTTCTTCAGAGTCTGTGGGTGTGGGGCACCGTCAGGAGCAGCGGGCGGCGACGTGCTGGAGTCAGAATCTTGGGGGGGCGGAGATGGGGGGTTTAGAGAAAAAAACGCTCTAGTCTTGACTTTTCGCTTTGCCACAAACCTTCACATGACTTCTGTTTCAGTCACAAAATCCTGGGACTTCATCTTGTTCGGCTCCGGCTGAAACTTTCATTTATAAAAACTTGAGACTGACCAATCACAGAGCAGCTCTGAGGTTTGGGCGACACTGACAGACGCACTTCAGCTCATTTTCAAAGTAAAACACAGACGGTTTGGTTTGTGAAATCGTGCAGAGGACAGAGCCGTGTGCCTGTGGACGGTGAGACTCCAGAGCTTTTCTTCAGACTAGATTTTACTCAAGTTTGTCTGTGTGACGTAAACATGTACACGACCTGAGCACGTCTGACCACAGTTTTGCTTCTTGGGCGTATTCAACTTTTACACTCTGGAGGCTGGATTCAGATTTTTGCTTTTTTAAGCCCCAAAAACGTTGTCACCATCTAAACAAAACACACTTCCCATAAAATATTTTAGTCGTTGTCGTGTACGCAGGCCCTTCGGCTACGTTCAGACCACAGGGCTTAACGCTTAATTCGGATTTTTTTTGTGAAATCCGATATTTTTGCGAGGTCGTTCACATTTCCAGTTAAGTCTAATGTTTACAGGATGAGGGTCTGAACGGAAGACGCAAAAGTGGCGTTGCATCTTCACTTTTTATTCCACGTTTAGACGACTGTTTTCGTGAGTAAATCTGCTGCATACGGTGACGCAAAAGTGTGTGGAATTCGATTGAGTAAACATGCCATCCCACATGTTTGTTTCTGTGTCCTGGATGTATGTGACGTAAATGCATACGCGACTGATTTTTTTGTGAGGTCGTTCACTTTTCCAGTTAAATTTGTCTTGTTTGTGATCTTCAGTGTGAACTTTAAATGCCCCAAAAGTGTCCCACATGAACATTGGCGACACGACGACGTCACACACATCGAGCGTGTTCAGTGTTTACAGAAGTCGCCTAAACTCTGGGCTCGTCCCCTAAAATCTGGTCGAGTTGTTGGTAAAATGTTCAGGTCACACGTCCACGGCCGCTTCGTTTGTTTGTTTGAGTCTTTATCCTCCTTGTGTTTTTCCCGCAGGTTCTTTATTTTTCGTTGACATTGGAGTCAGCACCAACTGCAGCGGCGCTCGGACATTTCTTTGGCAAACATTTAAAAAACCACCCAGTTACAATAAGAGACTCCTCAAACTGGATTTTACGAAAGTTTGATTTTTCATGCAGGTTCATGCAGAACTCTGAGCCGAGTCTGTAGAGAGTCAAGAAAAAGATGATCTCACAACTGATTCTTCCCGTTTTAGACGACTGTGAGATCATTTATCAAAATACCACAACTTCTGTCCTCCAACCGCTCAGTGTTTTCCAGAACAGTCATTTATTCTCCGCTGTCCCTTCAGAACTCACCACCGTGTGATGTTCCACCGTCTGTCCTGCTCATTCTGTCCTCCTGACAACTTCTCAACAACATTAATGTCACTTCTCCTGAATATCGCAAACAGTATTTAACTCCGTTCAGTTCCTCTTACAGTTTACGACACACAGATCAGAGATTTTTTGTTGTCCCAAGAGTCAAAAAACAAACAGGAAAACACTCGGGGTGTAACGATATTCAAGTCTCACGATACGATATCGTCACGGTATGAACCTCATGGTGCAATACTGTGGGAAAGGCTCATGATTAGAGATTTAACAATATCTAAATCTCTCTGTATGATATTTTCACAATATACCGTATTCTCCGCACTATAGGACGCACTTAAAAGCCTTTAATTTCATCCAAAAACGATTTATAATCCAGAGCGTCTTATATATGAGTTTATTTGTGTGTCTTAGTACGACTTTAGTAAAGTACAAAGCCGCTCCACTCGCAGCGTCGCGGCTCCCGTCGTCAGGAGCATCAGGAGTAAAACAGACTGTGATTCACTTTAATATCAAAATGCACCTGTCAAGAGACTCGCTCACAACGCCCACTTTAAACTCAAGGCTGTTGTAAAGTGAAAGTGCGTTTAGCTGCGTGGGAGCAGTGGAGGAGAGAAGGAGAACACACATTCACCAAGACAGAGAGACGGCGCCGAGAGCGACTTACGCCACGATCTGCCGACGGATCGCGGACGCCCGGGCGAAGGATCAGGATCAACTGTGGTCCGAACTTTCACCAAGACCCGAATCATCACTGAACTGAACTCCAGGGAACAGGAACAGTCAACTGTTATGACTTACTGTGAATATTCTAACTATTTAGAGTCTCACACAGGATTTTTTTTACATGTTACAATTGAACAAAGTTGAGAGTTACTGTGAACACGTTAAATAAAGTTTGACTGACTTATCGAACTGTTGTGTTTCATTTATTGAGCCTTATAGTCCCGTGTCATTTATTTGTGAAAAAAGCTCAAAAATCTATCATTCAGTGACAGAGCGACTGATAATCCAGAGTGAACTATAGTGCGGGAAATACAGTACATCTCACCGTACGATATTTATAGAGAGTGAGTTTCATTGTTGACAAAAGCGTGCGTTTCATGCTGGGAATTATTTTGGTCGGCGGCAAGAAACACTAATTCGACACGACGGACGGAGTGAGAAAGGACGTAAAGGGTATTGATCCCGGTTATTTATCCACTCTAACGGCAGAGGACCCAAGACCATTTGACCAGAAATTGGTCATAAACATCGACGGACGACAAATCACCCTTTTCAACCCCGACAGAGTCTGGACCAAACCAAATTTCTGGTCAGAATCTCCAACTACCTGGACAAATATTCACTTGGGCGACATCCACAATGACTTGGTGGAAACTCCTGGGCCATTCACAGCAGAAAAGATGAAAACCTCCAAGAGTCTCGATGTGTTGTTGAACTTGTTGAGTCCACGGTTTGTTAGGATCTTCTACGTTTGCTCTGCGGATGTTTGAAAGTCGTTTAATTCACCGTTAGTGGTTCTTTTCACTCAGAATATGAAAAAGACATTTTCCTTCTTCCGTGTTTCTATTTGTGCGTCCGATAATGCAGCAGGAATTTACCATTATCGAGGAGAAATACGCGAGGTTACGCACTGTGTTTGACGCTACCGTGTTTCTTGCCTCCGACCAAAATATTTCCCAGCAGCAACGCGGGCTTTTAATAACAATGACGTCAGCTGAAACTCGACTATTGTGATATTTTGTGGAGGCTTAAAAACAAAACTGTTAATATGCGACTTTTTCCTCTTAAAACGCCTTGACAAAACTTAATCCAAAGAACTAAGAGTTAAAAGTGTTAGAACTGTTATTTCTTCTTGTCGTCTGCATTGAAATGGAGCAAAGGATCATGGTCTATGTAGTTCCCTCTGTGTTTTTTATCATAACTCTTCATTTAAACAAAGAGACTTGTGATTTGATATATTGTGATGGTCCACGATATTATTGTGAGAACTTTGACGATACGATATCACGATAATTCAGTTACTTTTACATTTCTCGAAAACACTCATTTAAATATAAAGCTCAGTTTGATTGGAACGATTTTCCTTCATCGATTCAAGTTTTAACTTCTGTCCCTTCATTTTAAAATGCTCTGGTTCAATATTTACAAAACCCGCGTCATGGTTTTTGATCATTTTATTGAATTTTGTTGTTTTATTGTTGATCAATCTTTGAACTCTGGCTTCATTTTTTTGTTCGAAAACGACACGGCGAGACTCTCAAGAGGCTCATCCTCCAAACAAATCAATTCAAATTCAAATACAAAAATGCAGGACAAGAACAGGATCACAGAACAAAACACAAGTCTGAGGGAGGGGACACTGAGGGGACACTGAGGGGACAGTGAGGGGACAGTGAGGGGACACTTACACCAGCGCTTAGACGTCATCGAAGTTTATTTACCATCATCGTCTTTCCAAATTTCTCTGAATTTTCATCCTGGAAACTGCGATCGACTGAGACAGAGTCAAATGCTGATGCTTTAACACATCGGTGCACCACCCCCACCCACCCCCACCCGCTCTGAGGAGAAGGGGAGGGGAGGAGGGGGGGTGACAGATGCTCTGGTCCAGGCCTCAGGGGACCTCCACCCTCCTCCTCCTCCCTCCTCCACCCTCCTCCTCCCTCCATCCTCCCCCAGGGCTGCTCTCGTGCAACTGGTGCCGCTGCAGTGTCACCCACATATCTGCACTCACCAGCACCCACCCGAACCCCCACCCACTGTGCCCTCTGACCCCCCGGGCTCTCCGTCTGGCCCCTGCTCACCTCCTGTCTGCGCGTTTTCAAATTCACTTTTCACTTTATCGCTTTTGCTCGTTGGGTTTTGGGTCATGTGCAGGTGCGTGGAGGAGTCGAACCCGCAACCGCAGCGTAAAAAAAATCATGTTTTTCCAGGTTAAAATGAGATTCTTAAACGTTATTTGTCCACAAGAGGAAATACTCTGGCACAGCAGCTCCAGAAACGATGTAAAAATGTGCTCACAAACAAAGCGACCCGATTTTTACGCACTGAAATTTGACAGTAAACAAGAAATTCACTTTTAATATTTTAATTTTTTTTTATTACACCGTAAATTTTTAGATGTAATTGTACTTTTTAAAACGTTTCATTATGGTTAAACAGCGCGGATGAAGCGACACTCACCACGGGCTCGAGACGAAGACGCAGCCGGGGTCCGCTCCACTTCTCCGGGCTTCACTCCATCAGTCACGCCCCCCCGTCCGGAAACCGCGAGCCGAACGCGCCAAACTCCGCGTAAAAAGTGTCAAACAAAGCCGTAGAATCCCAGGTTTCGCTCAATTTCCGTAGATCCAAGTCCCAAAGAGCCGCGGAGGAGCCCGGGGGGAGTTAGTCCTCTTCGCCCGGTTACGCGCAAACTGAGCGCAGGGACCCGAGCGCAGCGCCAACACTCCCTCCGGGGCCCGCCTCCCCCTGGGCCCGGACCCGCCTCCCCCTGGGCCCGGACCCCGCCCCCCGAACACTCCGAGGGCCAATGGGGACGCGTAAGAATCCGTGTGTCATTCGTTCATTCGTTTTTCAATATAAAACCAAAAATAAGTAAACGAAAAAAAAAAATTTTCTTCATTATTTGTCTCCAAAACCAAAAAAAAAAAAAAAAAAAAAAAAAAAAAACGGATAATGGTTCGTTTTTTCAGTTTTTGATTTTGTGTTTAAATGAAAAATGGAAAAAACGGATAACGGCCGTTTCCCGTTTACGTGACTTCAGTGACTGTGATGCCGAACTTTTGCACCGCGTGCGGACTGAACCAGGACTGATCCAGGTCCGGGACCAGAGCGGGACCAGAGCAGGACCAGAGTGGGAATGAGACCGGGACAGACCTGGACCAAACCGGGACAAGACCGGAACCAGAGTGGGACTGAGTCCGGGACTGAGACCGGGACTGAGACCGGGACTGAGATGGGACCAGAGCGGAAATGAGACCGAGACCAGCGGTTCTGTGTCATCATCTGTGCGCTGGTTCCGTGCGGGGAAAGTGAGAATGTTCTGTGGACTACAGGTCCGGACGGGCTGCTCTGGTCCTCCACGCTCAAGAACCACGACTGGTTCTGAGGTGGAGCAAAGCATCAAACTGACACTTTCACACCAACGAAAACAAACCGAACTAAGAGCTTTTGGTTCAAATGGACCAGGTCCAGGAACAGACCGGGACCAGACCGGAGGCTCAGAGCCCACGGCAGGGCCGGAGCTCGAAGCTGAGGCTCGGACCCCGCGGAGGCTCGGAGTCAAAGCTTGGAGTCCGCCCTGGTCCCACTCTGGTCGTGGTCTCAGTCCGGCTCTGGTCCCGGTCTGGTCCTGGACCTGGATCAGTCCTGTTTCAGTCCGGCATCGCAGTCACTGAAGTCACATAAACGGGAAACGGTCGTTATCCGTTTTTTTCCATTCTTCATTTAAACGAATCGTTATCCGTAAGGACCGAGGGGACACAACACAAAGTGAATCTACATCAAAGTGCAGGGAAAATGGCTGAGCAGGTTTGAAACATGAAAGTGTCAGAGCAGCGTGAACGAAAACAAACTGAATCTGGTAAAGTTAAGATGACGAATTAAGAGTTTGATCGTGATTTGAGTCAATTTCACTTGACAGGTCAAAAGATCTGCCAGGGGAACAAGACTTTTTGTACTTAAAATATAAAAATACTGGCCTGATTCATCGGCTGGTTTCACTTGGTGTAAACCGTGTGACCTCGCAGCATCAGGATTCGTTCGCTCGATGCTCCAAATCCTGTAGGAAGAAGGACAATAACGACTTTCCTCTTGATAAAATTCACCAAACATTCTCTTTGTTCCGGCTTTAAATTCTCGATCTTGGGAATTGTTGACAACACAGAATGTGTGTCTCTTCTCTGATTGGCTGGTGCCTGAACTCGCACTTCCGGGTTTTTGCAAACCGTCTAGATCAGTGGTGCTCAATACGTCGATCGCGATCTACCAGTCGATCTCCAAGGTCGTGTGGGTAGATCGTCGTGTCTCGTCTCGGACTCGTGTTTGGACTCGGTCTTGTCTCTCACTCGAGGTCTGACACTCAACAAGTGTGATCATATTTCATTCCGGCCGCTGCTGTTGGTAATAAACTTGTAGCGGGTGCAGGAGCGTGTGGGGCGTCTCAGTGCAGCCTGTGCGCTCATTTGAAACCCGCGGAGACTCTACGGCGCATCACAAACACACACGCTCCCTATGCACGGCTCGTCTGCGACAGCGTGTGCCCTCGTGTACCAGCGTGCATCACAGGGCAGGTTCAACTTCCTAAACATCCTCCTCAGCACCTGCCTTCATCTGCCTCACGTCAGCACAAGACCCGTGAAGCCCCTCGCAGCATTTTACTCACGCTCTGACAAATGCATCTGCCTGTCACTGCTGGTACACTGCCAACACAAAAACCTTCCTTCACTTTTTTCACAGTGCAGGCGTGAGTGTTTCAGAAGAGGTCATCTTTAGACTCACAACGTGAGACAGCAAAAAGACCAGGAGTGGCCACTATATTTATGACTTGGCCAAACTTGTTTCAAGATCAAATCAAATCTGTATTAGAGCTGCAGCCGCACACAGAACAACTCTACTCAGATTACAGTATTTGAGTACGCAGTAAAAGTACCTGAGTACTTCCCGTCCCTGAGTGGAGTCCACAGTCTCAAAATGAAGGACAGTGGTCATTATCAAGTCATGGTCAAACAGTGAAAGATACAGGACTACTTTCATACTATAATACTCCCTACAACTGTTCAACAACTCAGATAATACTCCCTACAACGGTACAACAACACACACTTATGTCACAGATAATACTCCCTACAACTGTTACAACAACTCAGATAATACTCCCTACAACGGTACAACAACACAGATAATACTCCCTACAACTGTACAACAACTCAGATAATACTCCCTACAACTGTACAACAACTCACCCTTATGTCACAGATAATACTCCCTACAACTGCACAACAACTCAGATAATACTCCCTACAACTGTACAACAACTCAGATAATACTCCCTACAACTGTACAACAACTCGCCCTTATGTCACAGATAATACTCCCTACAACTTTGTTCAGTTTAAATGTTAGACGTGTGTCTGTGGGCGTCTGTAACATTTAAACTCCACAAATGTCTCTGTTTACGTTCACATCGACGTCATGAAATCCATTTTTAATTTTAGTTCTAGGGTCAGTCTGAGTTCACAAGTTCCTCATTAATGAACGACTTATTACTTCTGTTTTATTCACGACCGTGACGTTAGTTTAGTCCAGTTTGTGACAAATGCATCATCGTTGTTTCCTTTCATTTTTGATATTTCTTCTTTTGATAGTTGTGGATAAATTGTTCATGGAAAACGTTTATTCAACATCGCGACTCTTCTGGCCATTGTGAAAAAAAAAAATTAGATCAGAAAATAGCATAATATGGGCTCTTTAAAGCTTGAATCTGTAACATTATCACAACAATAAACATAAAACACTGCAGATAAACACCAAAATATGAGTTTTTTTTGTTTTTTTTTGTGTGTTTTTTTTTTTTCCATCGTGTGTGTTTTTTGTTTTGTTTTTTTGTTTTTTCCATCGTGTGTGTTTTTTGTTTTTTCCATCGTGTGTGTTTTTTGTTTTGTTTTTTTCCATCGTGTGTGTTTTTTTGTTTTTTCCATCATGTGTGTTTTTTTTTGTTTTTTCCATCGTGTGTGTTTTTTGTTTTTTTTGTTTTTTTCCATCGTGTTGTGTTTTTGTTTTTTGTTTTTTCCATCGTGTGTGTTTTTTGTTTTTTCCATCGTGTGTGTTTTTTGTTTTTTCGTTTTTTCCATCGTGTGTGTTTTTTTTTGTTTTTTCCATCGTGTGTGTTTTTTGTTTCGTTTTTTCCATCGTGTGTGTTTTTTGTTTCGTTTTTTCCATCGTGTGTGTTTTTTGTTTTTTTTTTGTTTTTTTCCATCGTGTGTGTTTTTTGTTTTTTTCCATCGTGTGTGTTTTTTGTTTTTTTGTTTTTTTCCATCGTGTGTGTTTTTTGTTTTTGTTGCTGACTCGGCGCTTTCCGATCACGAGTGTTATTTATCTGTGTTTGTGTTGAGTCATTTCATCAGAGACACTCCGCACCCCCTAGCCCCGCCCCCCTCTGTCCGTCCCGGGACACCACAATGGACCACAATAGAACGAGCGAGGGGGGGGGGGCTGTGGGGGGGCTGTGGGGGGTCGGCAGCTGCTCTCAGTTTGCACAACACAACGGCACAAGAGCAGCGGGTCCAGGACGCAGCCCTGAGGAACACCTGTCTGCCGACGCTAACGGGACGGCGAGCGGTGAGGGGGGGCGGGGGGGGGCTGGTGTCACGGGGGGGGGGGGTCGTCACGTCGAGGAAAAGGAAAACTCTTGTTACAAATGTCATTTTTTTTGCAGTGGTGGAAGAAGTGCTGCATTTTGTGACTTGAGTAAAAGTACAATCCCAAAGCACAGAAATACTCGAGTAAAAATGTGACATGAAAATTTTTGTTAAGTAAAAGTATTAAAGTACCTATTTAAAATATACTTAAAGAGTAAAAAGTACAGAATACAGATTTTGGAAGAAGTACTCTGTTTTGTGACTTAAGTAAAAGTACAATCCCAAAGCACAGAAATACTCAAGTAAAAGTATGACATTAAAGAACCTACTTGAGTAAAAAATATGACATAAAATTTTGAGTTAAAAGTATTAAAGTACCTGTTTAAAATGTACTTAAAAACTAAAAAGTAAAAGTATTTCATACAGATTTTGGAAGAAGTACTCCATTTTGTTACTTAAGTAAAAATACAGATGTTTGAGCACAAAAATACTCAAGTAAAAGTATGACATTAAAGAACCTACTTGAGTAAAAAATCCAACATAAAATTTTGAGTTAAGTAAAAGTATTAAAGTATCTGTTTAAAATGTACTTAAAGAGAAAAAGTAAAAGTATTTTCATACAGATTTTGGAGGAAGTACTCCATTTTGTTACAAGTACAGCGTAAAAATACTCAAGTAAAAGTATGACATGAAACAATCTACTTGAGTAAAAGTATTAAAGTACCTATTTAAAATGTACTTAAAGAGTAAAAAGTTAAAGTATTTTGGAAGAAGTACTCTGTTTTGTTAACTTAAGTAAAAGTAAAATCCAGAAGCACAAAAATATGACATGAAAAAATCTACTTAAGTAAAAGTACAGATGCTGGAGTATAAGTATTAAAGTACCTGTTTAAAATGTACTTAAGGAGTAAAAAGTACTTTCATAGCAATTATGGAAGAAGTAATCTATTTTATTACTTAAGTAAAAGTATAAATCCTGGAACACAAAAATACTCAAATAAAAGTATGACATGAAAAATTCTACTTAAGTAAAAGTAT